CCGGCTTCTGGCTGAGTGGCGCACCCCCTGGTGGTCAGTGCTCATCATAGCAACTGGTTGTTCCACTGTTCGGTCGATTTGCATATTAGGGTTTTGTTATATAGGACTAGAGGCCCGGTGCATGAAAATTCATGCACTGGGGGTGGGTCCCTCAGCCCGGCCTGCCCGCTCTCACAGTCCGGGAGCCCTCAGGGGATGTCCCTCTGTGGGAGGCACCAGGCTGATCAGGGGAAGGTGCCACCCCCATCACCCCGCTGCTGCTGCCACTGCCGGTCGTGGCGGCTGTGAAGTCTGAGCCCCAGGCCTCACAGCCACCGGGGCTCATGGCTGCCTGAGCCCCGGGCCTCTCAGCCACCAGGGTTCACGGCTGCCTGAGCCCATAGCTGTGTGAGCCCAAAGCTGCCTGAACCCTGGGCCTCGTGGCCGCCGGGGCTCACAGCTGCCTGAGCCCAGACCAGGCTGATCAGGGGAAGGCGCCGCCCCTCATCACCCCGCTGCTACTGCCACTGCCGGCCATGGTGGCTGTGAGGCCTGAGCCCTGGACCTTGCAGTCATCGGGCTCACGGCTGCCTGAGCCCCAGGCCTCGCAGCCACTGGGGCTCGCAGCTGCCGGGGCTTTGTCTGGATGGACGTCTGCCCTTATTAGCATATTACCCTTTTATTAGTATAGATGATAAGTTCTTGATACATGCATCATCCTCAGTGAACCTCAAGGATATTATGCTGAGTGAAAAGCCAATCTCAAAAGGTTACATACTATTATGATTTCATGTATATAATATTCTCAAAATCACTGAACTATAGAGATTATGAACAGATTGGTGATTCCCAGAAGACAGGGACTGGATTGAGGCAAGGTGAAATGGGAGTGAATATAAAAGAGGTAATACAAGGGAGTTCTTTTGTGGTGATGGGATAGTTCTGCATCTTGATTGTGTACATAGATCTGAACCTGAGATAACATTGCATAGAACCATATACATGATTCAAACCACACACACATACATGAATACACATTTTAAAATGGGAAAACTGAGTTCTATAGTCTAGTTAACAGCACAACATAGTAAGGCTGTGAGTTATGAGAATTATCTGCTAGCTGTAATTATCACTTTATTTCTCACTCAAGTATATTGAAATGCAAATGAGGGGATGTGGCTATATTATATGGAAAACCTGAATCTGCTCAAATTTATCCAAATTACTTATACCATATTTTACAACTATAGCTGTTTGAGAGCATCCATTTTAGGGTACAAAAGTAGTAAAATATGGTTTCTACCTTATATGCTGCTAATATGGCTATGGTATAATAGAATTTCAAGTCAGACCTGGATTTTAATCCCAGTTCTGCTGCTTACCAGATCTGCATTTTCTCAATTGTAGGCATAATACCCATTTCATAGAATTGTTTTCATTCAGCTCTCATTCAACTATTTGTGAAAGGTGCCTAACACCATATCCAACTCACATAGCTGTTGTTCACAAAATGTTTTGTGTGGGGTTTTTTTTGCTACAAAAAGTCATTGAGGTTGAGATGGTAGTATATTCATGCACCTATAGACAAAGTGAATGATAAATATATACTAAAAATGGTAAATATTGAGGTATAATCTACAAAAAAGAGGAGTTGGAAAATGGTAAGTGCCAAGTAGGCTGTGGTTGTCAGAGAAGGCATTATGATAGGAATGGGATTCAAAGTAGGTTTTGAAGAATGGAGAGGTCTGGAGAGGTAAATCAGGTGGGAGACCATTATAAGCAAAAGCAAGAGCCTGAGGTTATATGGTTATATGGAAATCACAATTGAGAAGTAACCTGCTATCCCATTAGATTATATTTTGGAAGTTAGAAATCTTGAAAGCTTTAAGCAATTGATCCCATAGTGTTACATTCTTAAAAGTACCCCGATATCTGCTGTGTATTTTAATGATATTGCTTGGTTGCTAAGACACTTGTGTACCTTAGTTTGCAATCTTGATTTACATAGCTCCTGACAGTTGTAGGTAAATTCAGGCTTGTTGATAAAAAATTCTTTATGTTTGAGAGAGACCAAGATGGCGGCATAGGTAAACACCGGAGACTGCTGCCGCAAACAACCACTTCAAAAATACAACTAAAAGACGGAACGGACATCACCCAGAACCGCAGGAAGGCTGGCTGAGGAGAGACTCTTCAACTAGAAGGAAAAATAACAGCACACCGAGGCTCAGAGGAGGCGCAGTGTGGAAAATACTCAGGTGCGGAGGTGCGCGCGCAAAGCGGGCTGGTGGCTGAGAGCGCGGTTGTCGTTTTCGGTCAGGGGGGAGTCTCAGACTCTGAGCTCCAGATACGGGCGAATCGCTGGGGACTCGGACCCAAACGGGAGAAGCGGGAGTGTCTGGCATCAGTTGGAAGGCAGCTTTCCCTCCGAGGTTTGCAGCGGTTCCGGGGGTTCTGAGAAGCAGAGCCTCTGGGAACAGGACTGAGGGCACCATAACGGCTCCCTCCGCCCGCCCTGTTGAGCCCGCCCCGCCCAAGCCCTGCGCAGAGCCATTTGCCGGATCGCCTCAGGCAAAGGCTAGATTAGCACCTCCCCAGAGGACAGAAGTTTTCCGCGGCAGACACAGCTGATTCACACAGCCAGTCGGCCTGGTGGTCAAATCCCTCTAGTATTAACTACAACAATCAAGGCTCAACTAGAACAAGACTGCGCACAAAGACCACTAGGGGGTGCACCAAGAAAGCATAAAAAATGCGGAGACAAAAAAACATGACAGAAATGGAGGATATAGAGCTAAAAATCGCAATTTTGAGGGCTTGCAAAAATGTGCTAGAAGCTGTCAATAAACTTGAGGAGAGAGTCACGAAAACTAATGAGACCCTCGATGCTATGATAAAGAACCAACTAGAAATTAAGCATACACGGACTGAAATAAAGAATATTATACAGACACCCAATAGCAGACCAGAGGAGCGCAAGAATCAAGCCAAAGATTTGAAATGCGAAGAAGCAAAAAACACCCAACCGGAAAAGCAAAATGAAAAAAGAATCCGAAAATACGAAGATAGTGTAAGGAGCCTCTGGGACAGCTTCAAGCGTACAAACATCAGAATAATTGGGGTGCCAGAAGATGAGAGACAGCAAGATATTGAAAACCTATTTGAAGAAATAATGGCAGAAAACTTCCCCCACCTGGTGAAAGAAATGGACTTACAGGTCCAAGAAGCGCAGAGAACCCCAAACAAAAGGAATCCAAAGAGGACCACACCAAGACACATCATAATTAAAATGCCAAGAGCAAAAGACAAAGAGAGAATCTTAAAAGCAGCAAGAGAAAGAGACTCAATTACCTACAAGGGAATACCCATACGACTGTCAGCTGATTTCTCAACAGAAACTTGGCAGGCCAGAAGGGAATGGCAAGAAATATTCAAAGTGATGAATACCAAGAACCTACAACCAAGATTACTTTATCCAGCAAAGCTATCATTCAGAATTGAAGGTCAGATAAAGAGCTTCACAGATAAGGAAAAGCTAAAGGAGTTCATCACCACTAAACCAGTATTATACGAAATGCTGAAAGGTATCCTTTAAGAAGAGGAAGAAGAAAAAGGTAAAGATACAAATTGTGAACAACAAACATGCATCTATCAACAAGTGAATCTAAAAAAAAAAAAAAAAAAAAAAAAAAAAAAAAAAAAAAAAAAAAAAAAAAAAAAAAAAAAAAAAAAAAAAAAAAAAAAAAAAATTCTTTATGTTTAACAAAAATGAAAGACATAATAATAAAATATTAACAAGATCTGGGTTTTCATTGTTTTCGTCAACCCTTATACAATTGTTTTCACATGTTATTAATGTATATGAATTTAATTTCTTCAAATGAAACTTAGGCAGTTTAATAAACTTCATGTTTCTAAATGAAGGTTGTTGTTTTTGATACTATAACTTTGCATAGAAATGTGAGTGGTTGAATGTTTGCCCTTAATATATGAAAACATTATATTCCTAATTTTCATATATTGTGGGATATTCTTGTGGAGAGTATGTGTTGGAGCAAAGGAATCTTTATGGGGCAAGTAGGTCTATCACTGTTATTTGGTCTTCCAATGGTGAATCAGCCACACATGATAGTAATTTATTTGCTTTTGAGATCCTCTTTGCTATATAATTTCAGTTTTACCATTATTTTGGGGAATGAATAATTTTATATGCATGTATTAAGTGCCCTTTATATACGAAGCATTGTGTTCAACATGGGTAGGGCAGAAAGAGAAATATGATACAGACCATCAAGGATGTGGTAGGAAAGAAAAATGTATACACAAATAACTATAAGGCAGTTTGCCACAAGTGCCATGAGCTCTGTAGGATATCAGATAATGGAGAGATCTTTTTTCAGTGAATGATCAGGGTTGATTTTATGATCAGGCAGGAGCAATTGACTAATTAATGCACATAGGTTATAAATTAACGTTAACATGGCGGTCAGTGTGAGGTAGGAATCCTGAAATGACAGCTCTTCTAATGCCAAAGATTTTATCTTTATAAACTGGGAAAATCATTCCAATACTTGAAATGGTTAATATGGTTAATTTAAGGTAAATATTTATACTTCTATAAATAAACTAGAGGCCCAGCGCACGACATTCATGCAGGGGGGGGGGGGGGGGAGCACGTTCTTCAGCCCAGCCTGTGCTCTCTCATAGTCCCGGACCCCCTCGGGGGATGTCTGCCTGCCATGGGGAGCAGGTTTAAGCTGGCAGGTAGATATCCCCCGAGAGGTCCTTAGCTCTGCCACGGAGGCGGGAGAGTCTCCCACCACCACCTCTGCGGTTGCCAGCCGTGAGCCCGGCTTCTGGCTGAGCCCACAAAAGGAGCACCTGTGTTGAGTGTCTGCCCCCTGGTGGTCAGTGCACATCATAGCAACCGGTCATTCCGCCATTCGGTTGATTTGCATATTAGCCTTTTATTATATAGGATATTTTCATATGATGGGTAATTGCTGCTTTTATGTTTTTAGGCCATGAATATTGTGGTTCCTTTCATGTTTAAATATGCTGTAGACAACCTCAACCAGATGTCAGGAAACATGCTGAACCTGAGTGATGCACCAAATACAGTTGCAACCATGGCAACGGCAGTTCTGATTGGCTGTATGTATGATTCTTTGATCTGTCTACAGGTGTTGACTTTCTTCAAGAGGGTTTCATCATGTTTGAGCAGATGACCTTTTCACTACAAACACAATTTAGCATTTTTTATATGTATTGTTTTATGTGAGATTTTTTTGATATGTGGTTTTAAAAATTCTTTGTATCATATATTTTCCAAAAATTCTGTTAATAATAGTCTCATTCTCCAAGTTCTAGAAAACAGTAATATGAAATGAGACATTAAAATTATAGCAACCACTTCTAATAGGCTTCTTGTAATATACCTTTAAAGAGTGAGGCAAGTTAGTTTCTTGATGTTGTTTTTATTAGCAGTTAAATGGGAAATAGCTAAATAATGATTAATTAATTATTGTGCATTAATGCTTTATTAAATTATATCCAATAGCCATGACACAGAGAATATGTAAAGCAGAGAATATGATGCTTTGTGTCCCCATGCATTAGAAAGGACATTTTATGAGACTTAGGAGACTTGAATGGGGCCATGCTTTAGTCCAAGGGTGGGAACCTTTTTTCTGCCAAGGGCCATTTGGATATTTATAAAATCATTTGCAAGCCATACAAAATTATCAGCTTAAATTTAGCCTGCTATATTTGGTCAAACATTTAATTAACTCACCCCTAATGCCTTGGGAGGACCAGACCAAATGATTTTGTGGCCCACAGGCCAAATATTCCCCATCCCTGCTTTAGTCCATGAAGTTGATTTTTCAGTATCTCAATTTCATCAATTGTTATTTGGGGGAATTTAATCAGATCAAAAAACTCAGCAGGTACTGTGTATTTATCTACAATAAGGCCATATGGGCTATTGTGTATTAAAAATATCTAGTTGGAGAAAAATCTTTCAACACCTGAGGCATATAGGGGGAATAACATTGAAAGGGATCCATGGTGGTGGAAAGATTGGTACTCACTAAACTAGATGCTTTTTAGATTTCTTTTAGTGTAAGTATTCAGTGATGTATTCATTCATCATACAAATATTTTTGGGCCTTTATCATTTTTACATTCCTAGGATTCTAATGTTTTTATGCCCCATTTTTTCTTTTGACTGTATTGTTAGATGGTGTATCAAGAGCTGGAGCTGCCTTTTTTAATGAAGTTCGTAATGCAGTATTTGGCAAGGTAGCCCAAAATTCAATACGAAGAATAGCCAAAAATGTCTTTCTCCATCTTCACAACCTGGATCTGGCTTTCCACCTCAGCAGACAGACAGGAGCTTTATCGAAGGCTATCGACAGAGGGACAAGGGGTATCAGTTTTGTTCTGAGTGCTTTAGTATTTAATCTTCTTCCCATTATGTTTGAGGTCACTCTTGTCAGTGGTATTTTGGTAAGTAAAACATTTTTCATAACAAGCTTTTAATTTCTCATTAGTAGCTATTTAATACTTGAAGTTATTGTGGTATTGTGTGTCCATGGTTTGAAAGCACAATACCGTGATGCTAGAGAATTATGCAATATATTAAATTATTTACTACAAGCTTCAAGGGACTGTCCAAAATCTTTATCATGTTATTTTTCTTATTTGATTTCAGAGAGGAAGGGAAAAGGAGAGAGATATAGAAACATCAATGATGAGAGAGAATCATTGATTGGCTGCCTCCCTCATACCCCCTACTGGGGATTGAGCCCACAACTCGGGCATGTGCCTTGACTGGGAATCAAACCATGACCTCCTGGTTCATAGGTCGACACTCAACTCCTGAGCCATACCAGCTGGGCTTATATTGTTATTTTAAAGAGCTGTTCAGTTCTAAACATTGATCAATAATTTAGCTGGTGCTTGCAATTATTGTTAACAGAGATTTTTGTATAGAACTTTAGACTGGTATACTCAAATTATCTGGGTTTCTATTCACCATTCATGACATTTTAGACAATTTCATATTTTTAAATTAAAATGTATATATATTATTCCTCTCATGGATTTTTGCACTATTATTATCAACATTTGACAGTAGCATCAGTGTGGCCGGTGCAGTTTGGCTTTCTTCCCTTGTTACCTAAAGTAGATTTTCTAAGGTATTTTCTTTCTTCCCCAAATAATTATTCATTTATTCACCAACATATTTTTTTAAATCTTTTGAATAAAATTTGTTGTATATTATAAAATATTTGACAAGAACAGTGACTATTTCTCTTTTCTTCTTTTGCCTTCTTCAGTATTACAAATGTGGTGCCCAGTTTGCATTGGTGACTCTTGGGACACTTGGTGCATACACAGCATTCACAGTTGCCATCACCCGGTGGAGGTAAGGTATTCCCCAGAGGCCAGTCAAGATTTGGAAATTAGTTATGCTTCTTTAACAAACATTTCATGCCTATGCAAATTTTTGTCTTACAGAACTAGATTTAGAATAGAAATGAACAAAGCTGATAATGATGCAGGTAATGCTGCCATAGATTCGCTGCTGAATTATGAAACTGTGAAGGTACTATGTTTTATTATACTTTTCCTCGGCCTTTAAATTGTGCTAAGATTTGTTTTGCCATTTAATTTAATAGTTACTATAACTTAGAGCTTCAGATTAAGATAGTATCTTTAGGTGTGATAGAATAATAGTACCTTTATTATTTTTCTTTTATTTAGAAATTGTCCTTTATTTCCACATTAATTTTTTTGTGACACCATCAGAAAGTGATATGAGTATGGTTAGCATTTTGATGTAGAATGAACACTAAGCTAATGAATTTAGCATGTAAGTTCTTGGCTCTCTATCCTTCAGAGTGCCTATCATAGTGCTTTCATTTTGCTTATTTGTTAATTTTTCCATTTAACAATTATTGAATTAGAGGCCGGTGCATGAAATTCATGCATGGGGGTCGGGGGGGGGGGCCCTGCACCCTCTCCAATGCAGGACCCCTTGGGGGATGTCCGACTGCCTCTCGCAATCTGAAACTGCTGGCTCCTAACCGCTCACCTGCCTGCCTGTCTGCCTGATCGCCCCTAACCCTTCTGCCTGCCTGCCTGATCGCCCCTAACCAGATTTGCCTGCCTAACTGATCGCCCCTAACTGTGCCCCTACCGGCCTGATCACCCCTAACTGCTCCCCTGCTGGCCTGATCGCCCCTAACCACCTATGCCTCACCCCACACCTGGAACCCAGGATTCCCTCCCTCTGGCCAGCCATAGGCACCCAGGATCTGGGCCACCTTCACCTGTGCCAGCCACAGCCGTAGGGGACCATGGGTGGACAGCTTTGCCCGGGCCACAGCTGCAGGTGCCCGGGACCGCAGGGCGGGCAGCTTGTCCCTCTCCTGTGCCGCAGCCTGGCTGGTCTCCATTCCTCTCTCACCAGCTCATTTGTGCCTGGCTGTTCCCCATTCCTCTCTCGCCAGCTCATTTGTGCCTGGCTGGTCCCCATTCCTCTCTCCCCAGTGTTGAGTGTCTGAGCCGTTATGGCATGAGGGCGTGATGACCATTTGCATATTAGTTCTTTATTATATAGGATGCCTCTTGTTTGCAAAGCACTAAGTTCTGTGTAAAAAAAGAATGCTTCATATTTAATCCTTACCCTCCCAGAATTTGTTAATCTACTGAGAAAGTTAAAGTAAGTATGCCAATGACTGTACAAGAGGCATATTGCAGTGGGGACAATGACAACTGTCAACTCAAAGTTCCAGGAGATATGGGGAAGGCTTGTGAATGAAGTACCCTTGATGGCTTTTTGTAAGATATGGGTATGTCCGACCAGCGTGGCTCAGTGTTTGAGGGTTGACCTATGAACCAGGAGGTCACTGTTCGATTCCCAGTCAGGGCACATGCCTGGGTTGCGGGCTGGATCCCCAGTGTGGGACATGCAGGAGGTAGCCAATCAATGATTCTCTCTCATCAATGTTTCCATCTCTTTCTCCCTTTCCCAGCTCTCTGAAATCAATAAAAATATTTTAAAAATAAATAAATAAAATGGAGTGGGTACTACAAAATTTTTCTGTACATGAAAGTCTGATAAAAAAGATAATAATTACTTTAAGAGAATAAATTCTAATTATACTTGTTTGTAGTTACTATTTTTATATATTTTTTGTAGTATTTTAATAATGAAAACTATGAAGCACAAAGATATGATGGATTTTTGAAGACATATGAGACTGCTTCATTGAAAAGTACCTCTACTCTGGCTATGCTGAACTTTGGTCAAAGTGCTATTTTCAGTGTTGGTTTAACAGCTATAATGGTGCTTGCCAGTCAGGGAATTGTGGCAGGTAATGGATCTATGGTTTTAACATTCATGGATGTTTTACTTAACCTTTATAAATAAAGATTAATGAAATTAATGTGTGTAGTCTTCATTATAAAGCATATTCAATAATGTGCTTTAACATCCTTGGAGTACTTTCCTTTGTGTATCAGAATGTGTTTTCTTGATTGTATAGTAATGTTTTTTTTACTTCATTTGGTTTAGCACTACAGTTTTAGCACTGACTCTCTCATTGGTTGGAATTACTGTTTATATATTTTTCGGGCCTACAATCTGATTGTTTGAGGAGTAACTTTTTTTAGCATCTAAAGTTTCTAATTTCTCTTATTGAACTGAAAATCAATGTAACTAGTCTTTAGTCCAAAGGACTAAAACTCAAGCAATCTTTTCTTTAGAATTACTAGTAACCTTTTAATCTTTCTAATAGTTTTTCATTTGAAAAACATTTTAAAAATTAATAATGTCTATACCTCATTTTTGTTACCTGCCCACTCAAGTTAGGATTCATTTATTCACTGTGACCTTAATACATGATTTATCATTTTCAGTCATGACATGCATTTGCTCCAATTTTTAATATATACTCTTTTTTAAATTTCTTTTTTATATTACAAAGAAACTAGCTTAAGGAGAGATTTTCAGCCTTTGGTTTTTATCCTCACTTAAGCCATATTTTTGTGTGTATAATGTATAGTGTATGGGTTGACTTTTCCTATTCTACTTAGCATGTATCAAGTGCCCTGTCTTCCTAAATTATGGACTAAAGCAGTAGTTCTCAACCTTCCTAATGCCGCGACCCTTTAATACCGTTCCTCATGTTGTGGTAACCCCCAACCATAAAGTTATTTTTGTTGCCACTTCATAACTATAATTTTGCTACTGTTATGAATTGTAATGTAAATATCTGATATGCTATTTTTGTTTTCCTATGGTCGTGACCCACAGGTTGAGAACCGCTGGACTAAAGGGTAAAGGGGGTCAAATATATGGTGACGGAAGAAGATTTGACTTTGGGCATTGGGCACACAGAACAATATATAATATATAGATGGTATATCATAGAAATGTACACTTGAAACCTATATATTTTATTAACTAATGTCACCCCAATAAATTTAATTTAAAAAATGCTTTGAAATTTAAGTAGGCCTAAGAGTTCCTGATTTTGTACATTTTTTATTTTGTACATTTTGAACTGTATTCCAGAGTAATAGACTTTCTCTACTTTAAATTGGAACAGTTCATAACATCTAAAATAACTTTTTTTCTTCTTCTGTTAATTGCATATTAAGGTACCCTTACCGTTGGAGATCTAGTAATGGTGAATGGACTACTTTTTCAGCTTTCATTACCCTTGAACTTTCTGGGAACTGTATATAGAGAAACTAGACAAGCACTCATAGATATGAATACCTTGTTTACATTACTCAAGGTAGACTCCCGAATTAAAGTAAGTAATTTATTTAGTACCTTTTAAAAAGCATGTGAGCTTTGTCACTTTAATAGAATTATTCTAGGGGAATATTCTTGCATGACCATGGTAGGAAACCAATTTCATTTTTGCAGAAATTGAGATTATCATGTTTATTAGGAAATCGTTACGGTTTTTACTTCTATCTTTAGAAACCTTACAGTGTTAACAAAGAATATTATGTCTAGAAGCTAAATATTGTTCACTGGAATTATTTGTACTTACACTTGATTTACTTTTGATAATAATGATTATACGATGTGCAATTGCCTCTTCTTACTTCCTCTACTTTCTTACTCCCCTGTCCAGCATCCCTTTACCTCCCTCCCAAAATACTGAAAAATTAAAGCATCCAGGATTTTTTACCTTAGCAGTGAAAAGTCTTTAAAAGCATGCTTGGAAGTGGTCTAACTGTACTTATAAACTTCCTTCTTCCCATTATTTTCCTTTTTATCTTCGTGAACTAGAAAATTATCTGCATAGTTGTGCTCTAGGAAGTATTAAAGTGGCTGTTTTTGTGTTTTTTGTTTTTCTCTTCTCTGCTAGGACAAAGTGATGGCATCTCCCCTTCAGATCACACCACAGACAGCTACGGTGGCCTTTGATAATGTGCATTTTGAATACATTGAGGGGCAGAAAGTTCTTAGTGGAATATCTTTTGAAGTCCCTGCAGGAAAGAAAGTGGCCATTGTAGGAGGTAGTGGGTCAGGGTGGGTAATTTAGTTATTTATAAAATTCTACATCACTGATTAATGATTCCCAATATAATATTTTTTCTTTATCAAGATAGAATGAATACTGTTGTTTAAAACAGGGGTTTCCTAATGTCATTAGGAGCTAAATAACCTTTCCTTATCTCCAATTTCAGGAAAAGCACAATAGTGAGGCTGTTGTTTCGCTTCTATGAGCCTCAAAAGGGTAACATTTACCTTGCTGGTCAAAATATACAAGATGTGAGTCTGGAGAGCCTTCGGAGAGCAGTGGGAGTAGTGCCTCAGGTATTTAAATGAAAGAAGAAAACTACTTGGGGGGGAGATTTATTGGGTTGGTGGCTCTTTTACCAGAATAATTTGTATCCAAGTAGTCAATATGTTCTAATTAGGAAACATTAAGCCCTGTAGGTCAAATTCTGTTACCAAAAAGACTGAAAAAAAGTGAATGAAAAGTCTACACGATGGAAAGATTTTTTTTAAGCCTTAGAAAGACAGAGTAATATAGAGGAAAGAGCCAACACTGGTATCAAACAGAACCTGATTCTAACTCCAGCTCTAACCCTTATAAATTCTGTGGTTTTGGCCTCAGTTTCCTCATCTATAAAACAAGGATACTATTTCTCTTACAGGATAGAATTATTATAGGTTAGAGATAATATGTGTAAAGCACCAAGCACAATGTTCATTATGCAATTGTTCAGCAAGTGAAAATTATTATTGTAATTTTGAACAGTTTTAGATATAGTAAATTTATAAAAATTACAAAGCAGTTTGGCTGCCAACTTCAAGTTTGTATGCCTTGTTCAACACTGTCCCTTCAGTACCAAGCACAGTTCCTGACCCATAGTAAGCATTTAACAAGTATTTGCTGAATGACTTTGGGGTGGAGAGGACAAGTAAAGCCAGAGTAAGAGTCTAGAAGACAAGAAGGAGATAGCTTTTATAGGATGTGAGTTTTTCTTATGCTGAAAGCCAATAGAGAGACCTGGGAATAAGTTGCAGCCTAGAATCAGAATCAGATTCCCTGGGAGAACTGTAGAAAAGGGATAAGACAGGTATGTGTAACTTGTAAAAGGTCCCCAAGTGATCTGATACATTCCATTCTGCTTTGTCTTCCCTTTCACTGAGAATCCCAAATGTTAGTGTGCATGAATTACCTAGGGAGATTATTGAAATACCAGCTCACTCTCTCACATACCTTGGTTCTCATTTAGGATTGCAATATGGGGCTGAGAAACCCATATTTTTTAATATGCCACCTAGGTGATTCTGATACAGATACTCATAGACTATATGTTGGAAAACACTGACTTAAACTGTATATTAAGTAAACTGAATTATGGGCTGTGCCTACTTAGGGCTCATTGTCCTCATCCATATAACTATGTATAACTAGATTCCAGCCATTCTCTTGAAAAATAAAACATTTTATTCATTAAGGATTAATATATGTGGTCAATAAAGGAAAGAGGAGATGTTCATCCTCATTGGAGGCCTTAGCAATATAAATTAAATCAAGCATGGAATGCCATTTTTTACTTACCAGATTGTCAAGGATTTTAAAATTCATGGCATCCAGTTTGGTCAGGGCTGTGAATTAAATGGCCAGTCTCTTGTTTTGCTGGTGTAAGTATACAGCTTTCCTGATGAGCAAATTGGCAATATATATCAAGAGCCTGAAATATACTCACACACTTTATTCCAATAATTCTGCCCCTAGGAAGTTTTAGTAAGGAAATTAATAGATGCGAACAGATTTTTATATGCAAAGATACTCATTACAGCAGTATTTATAATAGCAGAAGTTAGAAAAAATATAAATGTCTAATAATAAGTAGATGGTTAAATTATAGTATTAAATGTCATACAGCCATTTGTAAATACCAAGTTTTTAAAGAATATTGAGTGTTGGCAAAATACTCAGATACAAAGTTTGTTGAAAAAGAGGATACCAAAACAAAACATAATATCCCCAGTTTTTAAATATTAAATGAATACATGTCAGTAGAGAAAAAAGATAGGAGAAACATTTTGAATAATAGTAGTTATTGCTGGATGGTAAAATTATAGATTATTTAATTCATTTTTATTTTACCTTATTTTTTGTATTTTCACGGTTTCCAGTTAGCATTTGTTTAACTTTTTCTGAATATAAAGTATTTAAAAATAAGTATTTTCTCTTTATAGAACTTTAAGCTCATTTGGGTTAATTTCCAACTTAATAAAATAATATTTTATATTAGTAGTAGGAATATAAATGATTAGAATATTACTTAAATAATATCTAAAATTCTGATTATGATGTTAAAGAAGTTTTAATTGAGTATCCTTGTTCATTTGGACTAATGGAGTCATTTTATTTCATCTCACTAACTATTGCCTTCCAATCATTTGGAGACTTAAAGAGAAGTGGGAGATGGATGCTCTAATTAAATTAGGTTTAGTTTGTTATGTCAGGATAAATTGAAATAATAAATGAATGCTTGCAGTGAACTTTCATATTTTTTTCTGTGTTTTAAGTTCAATTTAAAAGCTTTGAGAAACATATGTTTTTGTAAAGACATATTCTACCTCACTAGTAATTTGGGAAATGCTAATTTAAACCAAAAGCACATTTTACTTCTAAAGTAGCATCAACTAAAACTTACTAATATCCAGGATTGCTGAGTATATGGAGACTTGGCACCCTTATACACTATTGGTTGGAATGTGTACTTACTTGTCAGCATTTTAAGACTGTCGGGCAATACTATCAATGGATAAACATATGATTACCTTTCAACTCTGTCTACTTATAGGAATCCTTCTTACAGAAAGAAATACATGGGTGCATGAAGTCATATATACAATGATATTTCAACATTCTTTGTAGTAACAAAAATTTAGAAACTACATTAATGTCCATCAATAGAGGAATGGATAAACTATGATGTACCCTTAGTATTACACAACTGTTAAAAAGAATGAAGTAGGTTTCTATTACTGATATATACAATCTCCAGGATGTGTTAAGTGAAAAAAGCAATTTGCAAAATAATACATATAATATGTCACCATTTGTGTTGAAAAAAGGTGTATGTTTAGGCCTATAAATGGATTGAAAAAAGTCAGCAATAATACACAGCAAATTGTTAATGGTGATTATCTCTGGGAAGGGAAATGGGATTGCAGGGATGTGGGGGGTGATTTGGGGGTTATCATGTTTTAGTCTTTATGTCTTTACTGTTATTTTAATAATCTTTATAATGAACATAAGTGTGTGTGTGTGTCTGCTCGCTACAGGATGCTGTCCTCTTCCATAATACCATTTACTACAACCTGTTATATGGAAACATCAGTGCTTCACCTGAGGATGTGTATGCAGTGGCAAAATTAGCTGGACTCCATGATGCAATTCTTCGAATGCCCCATGGATATGACACCCAAGTAGGGGAACGAGGACTCAAGCTTTCAGGTAATCAGATTTTAGATTTGCCCCCCCCCCACACACACACACATACACACACAGACCACCACCACACTTGGATACTCCCTTCAAACTTTAATTTGTCATAGCCATTTTCTAGAAAATATAGTAGCAGTATTCAAAACTAATGCTTATCCAAGTGCTTTAGACAAGGTCCCCAAGCCTCCTATCCATCACTGTAAACAATCTAATATACCAGAAGTAAGTGTTCTCAAATCATACAAGTCTTTTTTTTCTTTTGCAGCTGCAAACACGTTAAGTGCTTAATAGTAAGTTATGGATATATGCTAAAATCAGTATTAACTTATTACCCATATTCTTAATATTAAAGGAAAGCCAGGTTCATTATTCTTCTGGGAAAGTAGTAAGAGTAGAGAGAAATAATTTGCTAGTTACTAGTGTATCTCATCATAATTTCCTCGATTATTATGTAATGTTTTGAATACTTTAGACTTCCTTGTACAGGATATACTTAACTGTTACACTTTTTTTGTAAATTATTTTTTAATTATAGTTGACATTCAATATATATTTGTTTCATATGTATAACAGTGGTTAGACTTTCATATACCCTATGAAATGATCACCCTGATAAGTCTAGTACCCAGGTGACACCATACTTTCCTTATAGCAATCTTCATTTACATTTCCTTGATTCAATGGTCAAGTAAATTTGGGGGCTTCTACATTTCTATTTAAGTGTTTAATTATGAGATTGATAAAGTTTAATAATGAATTATCCTAAAAGGACTGAATTTTTGGAAGGTCCATAAATATGTTTCTTTGCCCCAAATTATTTGAATTCCAGAGTAAAACAATATCTAATGCCTGAAAGTATTAATGTAACTCATATACTAAATCCTTTACATTTATTCTTCACTAGTGGCCCAGTGCACGAAATTCGTGCACATTAAAAGGGAATTAATTAAAGGAAATATTTTAATATTGCTATTTGCCCTTTCTCTATAATAGAAGTGTCAGAGATGAAAGAAAATTAGTAAAATGTATATGAAAATCTTCCTCCTGTCAGAATCTGGGGCACGTCCCGTGACCCAGAGTCAAGTCCTCGCCCACCTGCACATGCCTCGAAATTGCGCGAGACCCAGACCCTGCCGGCCCCACCCCCGTCAAGCTCCACAGGGCGGAGGGTGGAGGGCGCAGCCTCAGGTCCCCCGGCGCCGGGGCGAGGGTGCAAGGGCATGACAACCATTTGCATATTAGCTCTTTATTATATAGGATTCTAATTTAGTTTAAGTGGGAAATTTATAGAGTAGGGATGGGGTAAGGCAAAAGGGGAATAAAGAATAGTATGCATGAATTTTAATATATCCCCATTTTTCTTTGTGACAAACTGGTTTCAATCACAACATTGATTAAGTACATACTACCTGTAATCTACTATGCTAAATGATTTGAGAGTTAAAAAGATGAAGCATAAGTCAATCTTTCAAGGAATTTAGTCTATTAAAAAGTTTTGATCTAGGTTTAGAAAATGTTAAACAAAGATTATTTTCACACTTAGTTGGTTTGTAATAGTTATTTGGTCATTAATCAGTAATAAAAGGTGCCTGTATCATTCCAGTTCACTTTTATACTTTACCATTGCTTTTAATAGAAGTAATTTCCTATTAACTAGCTCACACTCAGATTATTTTTTCCATTTGGCTGACTCTGGAAATTCCCAATTTGTCACATAATATGGGCTTCCTTCCTTAACTTATGACTTTGACTCAGATGACTATACCACATTGCATTTTCCAATCCTTTATTTTCCCTCTCAGCATACCTTTGAGAGTAGGGATGGCTAAAGAAATGTTATTTTTACCTGATACCCATCGCCTTACAACCAGATATCTCAAAATAAGCAGTGTATTAATTGGCATCTATGCTCATAATTCTGGTAGAGATAAACAAATGCTCTTCTTCAAGTTCCAAAATTATATTCAATAAAATCGGAACTGAGTTGGTTTCCATTTGAAATTTGGGAGGCACATCAAAAACATTGGTTGGTGAATACACAATGTAATATAAAAATGATGTATTATAGAATTGTACACTTGAAACCTATATAATTTTATTAACCAATGTCACCCCAATGAATTTAATTAAAAACCTCAAATTAAAGAAACAACAAAACGAATCCTTCTGCTGAGTGTCTGCTTCTTTTAGGAGCTTTCTGTTGCTGAGTCCCTAGGTGGATCAGCAGAGAGTTCTGTCATGGTGTTTGCTTTGATAGGGAAATTCTGATCTTATGAAATGGGGAGGAGTGCGGATAGTATGAATATATACTTTGGCATTAATATTAGATATAAGGAGTCCTTTTATATGTTGAAGGAAATAAATTGCAGAACAAATGTACTTGGTGTACCAGATAATAAAAAGGTGGAACTTGTTTTCTGAAGAGGTTACTGAAGCTGAAAAATATTTTTTCAGATATTAATAAATTAATAGATAACAGACAAGAAAAGAAGCCAAAAGAGGCATATTAAGTAAAGTACCACCTTTTATATAGATACTAAAGTCTCAGTGCATGACATTCATGCACTGGGGGGGGAGGGTCCCCTCAGCCCGACTTACACCCTTTCGCAGTCCGGGAGCCCTCGGAGGATGTCCAACTGACAATTTAGGCCTGCTTTCCCCAGGGAGCGGGCCAAAACTGCAGTCGGACATCCTTAGCACTGCCATAGAGACGGGCCGCTGCACTTGCCAGCCGTTAGCCAAGCTTGTGGCTGAGCAGCCCTCCTCCTCTTGGAGTTCACTGATCACCAGGCGCCAGCTCCTGCATTGAGCGTCTGCCTTCTGGTGGCCAGTGCACATCATAGCGACCAGTCGTTCTGCTCTTTGGTCGATTTGCATATTACCATTTTATTATATAGAATACCTCGGAGATATTTTGGGTTTGGCTCCAGAGTACTGCAATAAAATGAAATATTACAATAAAGCACATCACAAATTTTTTGGTTTTTCAGTGCATATAAAAGTTAAGATTACATTATATTATAGTCTATTAAGTATATAACAAAATATGTCTTAAAAATAATATATGCAAATTTAAAAATATTTTATTGCTAAAAATCCTAATGCCCATTTGAGCCTTCAGCGAGTCATAATTTTTGCTGGTTGGAGGAACTTTTTAAAAATTGTTGACATTATTACAGATGTTCCCCATTGACTCCCCCTTTGTCCACCACTACCCAGACCTTGCCCTCCTCACCTCTGGACCTCACCACATTGTTTTCTGTGTCCATGGGCAATGCATATATGTTCTTTGCCCATTCTCTTCACCTTCTGTCATCCCATCTGCACCACCCACCTCCCCTCTTATCTGTCAGTTTATACCATCTATCCATGCCTCTGGTTCTATTTTGTCAGTTTATTTTGTTCATTAGATTCCACATATAAGTGAGATCATATGGTATTTGTCTTTTTCTCTGACTGGATTATTACACTGAGCATAATAATCTCCAGGTTCCTCCATGCTGTCTCAAAGGGTTAGATATCCTTTGAGACAGCTGCATAGTATTCCATTGTGTAAATATTCCACAGCTTTTTTGTCCATTCTTCTACTGGTGGGCTGTTTCTAGATCTTGGCTATTTTAAAATATTGCTGCAATGATAGGGGTGCATATATTCTTTCTGATTGGTGTTTCAGAATTCTTAGGATATCTTTCCAGAAGTGAGATTACTGGATCATAATGTAGTTTCACTTTTAATTTTTTGAGGAAACTCCATAAAATTTTCCTTAGTGGCTGCACCATTCTGCATTCCCCACCAATAGTACACTAGGGTTCCCTTTTCTCCACATCCTCCTTAGAACTTGTTGTTTGTTGATTTATTGATGGTATCCATTCTGACAGGTGTGAGGTGCTATGTCTTTGTGGTTTAATTTGCATCTCTCTAATGTTTAATGACAGTGAGCATTTTTTTCATTTGTATGTCCTCTTTGGAGAAGTGTCTATTCACTTCCTATGCCCAGTTCTTAATTGCATTGTGTGTCTTCCTGGTGTTGAGTTGTATGAGTTCTTTATATATTTTGGAAATTAACCCCTAATCAGACATATCATTGGCAAATTTGTTCTCCCATACAGTGGGTTCTCTTTTCATTTTGTTGATGGTTTCTTTTGCAGTGCAGAAGCTTTTTATTTTGATGTAGTCCCATTTGTTTATTTTATCCTTAGTTTCCTTTGCCCTAGGAGATGTATCTGTAAACATCTTGCTACGAGAGATGTCTGAGATTTTGCTGCCTATATTTTCTTATAAGATTTTTATTGTTTCACAACTGTTTCACAATTTAAGTCTTTTATCCACTTTGAGTTTATTCTTATGTATAGTGTAAGTTAGTGGTCTACTGTCATTTTTTTGCATGTAACTTTCCAATTTTCCCAGCACCATTTATTGAGGAGACTGACTACTCTTGCCTCCTTTGTCAAATATTAATTGTCCATAGAGGCATAGGTTAGTTTCTGGGCTCTCCGTTCTGTTTCTTTTGTCTATATGCCTGTTTTTTTGCCAGTACCAGACTCTTTTGATTATAATGGCCTTGTAGTATAGTTTGATATCCAGTATTGTGATACTTCCAACTTTGCTCTTCTTTGTCAAGATTGTTGTGGCTATTTGGGGATGGATATATATATAGTTTCAGAGAGGAAGGGAGAGGGAGAGAGAGCAACATCAATGATGAGAGAGAATCATTAATTGGCTGCCTTCTGCATGCCCCCTACTGGGGATCAAGCCCACAACCCGGGCATATGCCCTTGACTGGAATCGAACCCAGGACCTTTCAGTCCACAGGCTGACGCTCTATCCACTGAGCCAAACCAGCTAGGGCTGGGGTCTTTTTTTATTCCATTTGATTATTTTTCATAGTTTTTATGTCCTTTTCTTTTTTTTTCTTTTTTTTTTGCTGTCGAGCATCCTTATAACCATTATTTTGAGCTCTGTTTCTGATAAATTGCTTGCCTCCAACTCATTTAGCTCTTTTTCTGAAG